CCGCCACCTCGCGTGCGATTGCCCACCAATGCAGTCATATGCCTGCTCGCAAAGCACTGAGCATTGGGTGCTGGAACATGCGCACAGTACTGGACTCGGATCGCTGAGCACGATAACTTTCATGATTCAGGTGTTGTCTATGCGTTCTACTAGGTGGGCAACGTCACCTCAGCACCACGTGAACATGGGGTGGGATTTGCAATATTCCATCGCCTAAATGGTCAGGTGGTGAGTGAACCCACATTCATCAGCGCACGACTGTTGACTGTTCGCCTAAGACTCGGAAGAGGTGAGTTTGACACTGTTATAAGCACGTACGGTCCGACCATGTGCTATCCTGATGACATGCGTGATCAATTCTACACTCACTTATCCTCCATGATACAGTCGGTGCCGAGGAGCGACCGACTATTTCTGCTGCGTGCTTTCAACGCGCGCGTTGGGCTTGATACATCGGTGTGAACATATGTTATCGGTCCGCATGGCATTGGTTCAGCGAATGCGAACGGTGACAGGCTGCTCTCACTGTGTGCCACTCACGCCCTTACGATCATGAAGACTCGGTTTGCACTGAGTGCGTTTGATATAGCAACTTGGCCGCACTCACGGAGTGGTCACGCTCACCTGCTGGACTATGTCATCTTACGTCAGCGTGATATGCGTGAAGTGCGCATGATACGTGTACTGCGTGGAGCTGAGTGTGGCACTGATCACAAATTGGTGCGGACCAAACTGTACATATATTCTTGTAAGTCTAGGTACTGCATTCCCTCCGTGAATCGGCATAATTTAACATTCTCTCCCTCGGTACTGTGGCGAAACGTACTGAGCTGGAGAAGGCGATGGCTGCACGCCTGTGTGATGATTTGGACTGCATAGCCACAGTGGGCGACCTGTGGCACCACATTCTCGGCAAGGTGACAGCTGCTGTCAAACGGACCATCTGTCGCGCAAACTGTAAGCGGCCTGATTGGTTGGATGAGAACAGTGCGACGATTGGCGCATTGGTGTCAGTGAAAAATGCAGCATTTGCTGCACATGTGGCATACCTCAGTGATTTGGGAAAGAAGTGTCGGTTTCACAAACTTCGATGGCGACGGATGCGAGAGCTCCGTCGTATTAAAAATGCATGGTGGACCGAGTAGACGAAGCTGATGGAATGCTAGGCAGAACGCCGCCAACACAAGAAATTCTTTGACACCTTGAAGTTGGTGTATGGACCTAGGTTGGAGCCGTTGTGGACGCTGATCGATGGTAGCTCAGGCGCTACCTGCACACAGGCTGCAGACATAATGCAGATCTGGCGGAACCATTTGACTGTCTCTTGATCAACCGTTTAGAGATCGACTGGCCTACTTTGAACGGCCTGAAGCAGCATGATGTGAAGGGAGTCTGGCGGACACGCCGACACTGGATGAGACGCCGAGAGCATTTGCTCAGCTGCGAAACGGCAAGTGTGCCGGTGCCGACGGAATCCCGCCTGAGTTATTGAAACACGGCGGACCCGCGTTGTTGACTGCGCCGCACCACTTGGTGCAACGCAAGTGGATTGATGAGGAGGTGCCTCCAAAGCTGAAGGACGCCCATGTGCTATCACTGTACACGGGCAAAGGGAACAAGCAATGTTGTACGAATTATCGTGGCATCAACTTGCTGAGTTGTGTGGGCAAGGTGATTGCCCGAATCCTGCACAACCGCTTTGTCAGTCAAGTTGTGGAACCTAAGGTGCCGGAAGAGCAGTGTAGATTCCGTTCGGGTCGCAGCTTCATAGATACGATGTTTGCGGCTCGTCAGTTGCAAAAGAAGTGTAGAGAATGACACTAGTCATTGTACTCGCTTTTTGTTCATTTCACCAAGGCATTTGATACGATGAATCGCGAGGGATTGTGTTGGGTACGTTTGGTTGCCCGCGTAAGTTTCTAAGTCTAATTGAATGTGTGCACAGTGGTATGTTGGCGAGGGTGCAGGTGAGTGGAGAGACCTCCGTTGACTTTGCAGTTGTTGTTGGTGTGAAGTAAGGCTGTCTTAGCTCCTGCTCTGTTTACTACATATCTTCATGCAATGTTGTCTTGTGCTTTTGATGCCGCTTGTGCTTACGGTGTTCGTGCGGAGCACCGTATTGTTGGTGGGTTGCTGAACATCCGTCGTTTCGGTGCGAGAACCCTGGTCTGTGAGACGACTATCCGTATGTTGCTGTTTGCTGACGACTGTGCTTTGTTTGCACACAGCGTGGATGATTTTCAGCACAGGACTAGTGCTCTGGCTTCGACAGCAACCAAATTCGGGCTGGCGATCAACACAAGCAAAACTGTCTGTCTCTTTCAGCCTTCACCGGAGGTACAATCTGCAATGGTGTCGCAAATCAGCATTGGTGCTGAAGTATTGGAAACTAGTTCCTGGTTCTGCTACCTTGGGAGTGTGATGTCGACTGACCAGCAGCTACACAGTGAGCTGCGTATCCTCGTCTCGAAGGCGTCGGCGACATTCGGGAAGCTAGAGTACCGAGTGTGAAACAACCATCAGCTTATCGTTGTTGCGAAGCTGAGGTGTCCAACTGCATGGTGCTGCCCGTTCTTCTATACGCCAGTGAAACGTAGACGATGTACCGGTGGGATGTGCGATATCTCGAGCGGTTCTATCAACAGTGTTTGCGACGGATTCTGCACATTATTTGGTGCTACGAAGTTGCAGATACGGAAGTGTTTCGCCGAAGTGGAATGTAGGCAGTGGACTGCATACTTTTGCTGCGACATCTGAGGTGGCTCGGTCATGTGAGCCGTATGGATTCGTCGCGGATACCGAAGCAGCTGCTGTATGGTCAGCTGAATATTGGGAAGCGGCATGTGGAGAAACCGAAGCTTCGTTACCTGGACATGATCAAAATGAGCCTCTGACGTTCTAATCTTGATTGCAGGTCATGGGAATCGAGGGCGGTTGATCAGTGTGTATGGCGCGATCTGATCACCAATGCAGTTGCCGAAGTGTGGGGGATAGCCCTCATGCTTGCAGAGAAGAAGCGGCAAGTGCGGAGGCGGCCGGCGACATCGAACGCATGGTGCTGTAGCACATGCGGTCGCGAGTACCTGAGTCAGGCAGGCCTAGTGAGCCATGAGCGAGGCCACTCGGGACCACCACCGAAGTGACGACGGGTACTGCAGAGAACGTAGGCAGTACGTGCGCAGCGTTTGTAGGTACGCTGCATTCGATCTACTTACCGCGTGCTTGTATGCCAAGTCTCTTTATTTCAAGTGTTTAGTTTGCTATCTTGTCCTAGTGCTTTTTTAAATCTTGTATTGATGTTTACCTGAACTATCTTCTATAAATTTGCGCCCGTCGCCTAAGCTACTTGTAGTTAACTACGATAACACTCGCGTTTGTGGCATTTTCTTTAAATATATTTTCCGACTTCTTGAACTTATTGTGGATTCGTTCGCAATCAGTTTACTTTATGCGCCCATTTCTTGACGAGTTATGCCGCCATATTTATATGCATTATCCGATTTGTTTTATTCCATCTTGTCGTTTCAAGTGCTTTTCTGCGGCTGCGCTTGATGCGCATGTTGACAAGGTGCCTACCCGTCTATTAAGCACTGCCTCTTCCATACTGGATCTAGGAGACATTTGGTCGTTGCTGTAGTGGACGGGGGTGTACGGTCCTGGTGGCCGTGTTAAGCTCGAAGAGTGGTTCCATGCAGTCATTGTGGAGCGGACTACGGTCCAGCCACCGCCTTCTGTGCAGCAGGGGGACATAAGGATATCGCAACCCGTTGGGAACCGGTGACCAAACAAGTGGTTCACACGCCTTTGGAACGGCATAGGACCAGGCGTCCAACACACCATTGTATTGCAACACTGCTCAGAGAGAGGCAAGGTGCAGTGACTTTATTTAGTGGCGAATCACATCCGCCACGTCACAGTGTTTGTTAAATTATATATGTGATTTTTTTTTAGAGAGAATGCTTGCCAGGCGAAAACCCACCATGTCCTGGAACACTACCGCCGAACCATTCGCTGATACGGGATAACCCAGAACCACCCAGCTGGCACCACGAGGTTATTCGGCAAGCCCGCTCCACGAATAGACTGTACACACTTGTGTCTATGTTTGCTGCGGCAACGGGGCCAGAGGAATGGTCGTGTGATCAGATGGACGAGTGATCAACTGAGCCTATCGTACAATCCACCCAGAAAGTCAGGAACGCAGCTCGATGTGACTTTAGACAAGATAAACATTGCGAATAAGCGTAACCCTATGACATTAGAGCTAGTGACGTAAGGCAAATAACAAGGGTGAGCCAGTGGAGTGGAATTTGTGCGTATTCTTAATAAATCTGCTTGTTATAGCGACCCAGTCTTCTTGATTAACGGAACGCTGCACGACACTCCTGTTTGCCACAACTTGCTTGTGTGCAAGTGTATTTTCTCCTTACTCCTACACAAAAACCAAGTACCGCAATAGACTTGAAGCTGAACCAGGTTACAGCTTCCCTCAGTAACACCAAACGTCAAACCAGTCAGCGCTGCACATCAGAAACACTTTCATCCCCCACATCTGGTCTTAATGCACGTTGCCTTTTCTACTTACATTCAAAAGCTTTCATTTTTCACTAACGTTAATGCCCACCCGTTTTACTTCATTGTGCAGTAATGAACGTTTTCAGGACACTTCGCCTCATTCACATTTTATTAAGGCATAGTCCTATGGTTAACAATATGTCAAGGGGTGCGCCGTGCTCGGTTCCATGAAAAAGGTGTCCACGGACCTCTCCACGGAACCTCTCTTTGCACCTCCACCTGTAATGGACCGACTGCAGTTTTTTCCGCGAACGCGGCTTGTCTTTCCCACCCTTTGCTTCGGTTTTCCGTACTACCTTTGTATACACAATATCCTCATTGTTTTCTCCCAGCTGGTTTGCACATACTTCATTCCGTACACTTTGTGATACATGATCGATTGGTCGCTTATTTTTCCGCTCCTATTTCTTTTTTGACCTGCCCAGACCACAGTGTGCAGACGATTTTATTGCATTCGTGCATTCGCTTGGACTTCGGGGACGTCAGTTGTCGGACAAACAGCCCCGAATTCGCTTCCTCCGCATTCAGCTTCATCTCATCCGAGTGTTTTACGAGCGTTTGACCAGTTGTGCGATCCAGCCAGCTGGTGAACCCCACGGCGCACCTAGTCAAGGCGACCAACCGTCTGATACAGCTGCTCCGACCCGCTTGGGAAAGATGTTTGGCCTTTTACACAAATCTATCCACCGGGGATCTGTTCTTCGGTCCTCTCTCCGGTGGTTTAAAGACAAAGACACCGTGGTAGGACATTCGATGCGCTGGTTCGCCGTGATCAACGCGTTGCATTACCTTTGCGATGCATTGTTGGAGCTTTCCAACGATTCGGTGAGTACTTGCTTCACCATATTTTTCAGACGTCACACCGACCTATGCTCTGTCACTTATTCCCATGTAACTACCGCCAACCACTGTTCTCTCTATATAGTCATTAACAGGTCCAAACCTTATCATTTGTATTCCACACGTGTAGACACACTCAGCTATCTCAATGTATTCTCTCAATATAGTCTCGGTAGACTAGGAACCGTCCACGCTGAATAGGATTCAGACACAATGCGTTCAATCGGACCTACTGGCGTGTACTTTGGTTCTGTGCGCGCTGAGCCTATGTGATTCCGGTTGCGTGGTTTCTTGTATTACGCACAGCATGTTATCGATGGATTATGTTTATATAAGACTCATCTATCCACACCGAGAATAGGGTTTTGTACTTTTGGTGTAACGGACACTTCGTTACGTGGTCGCGTCTAGGTCGTTTGTCAAGTCTTGTCTGGACCGCTTGCCGTCTCCGATCTCATCGAGCACCGTCTCGCCTTTTCTGCTCACCATGTTTCATCTATCACGGTGTTTCTGTGCCAACCTTTTTCGCCCAATCACGCCACAGTCACAAACCCGCTTGCTTGCTTGGTCTCACCAACCGTATAGCCGTTCTCGCAGTTAATCTATTCCCACTCGTTGTACAATGAGTCTTCGTGTCGCTATGGGCCTCAAAGTGACTTGTCCAACTCAACTGTACGCCCTTACACGCTTACCCTTCTCTTGGTTCGCATGGCTCCCTCGTCGCGGTTGCGGCTGCGCTGCGCCGTGGCCGTGATTACGCACGGTCGTGGCTGGTTGGGAAATCTTTTGTTACGCGCGTTCGCTCTGTGCGGCTGCATTTTGATGATGTACTGCTACAAATCGTTGAGATTCGTTCTGTTCACTAATTTAATATTCACCGTCCATTCTCTTTTTGTTGACTTTTATTGACTTTTCCCTTGGCTTATCGCTCATTGACTGTCCATTTGAATTCGACGTCATTTTTGGTTCTCCAGAACCTATTTAATACCTATATACCCCCCGATATCACTTTGTCACTTGCATATGGGAAGAATAGAATCGCCAGCCAGTTAATATGATCCACTTGTAGAGTTTAAAATGCGCACGTATGTCGCGACGATGCACGTCGAATATTAACGTCGTCTGGTTTCTTTTACCGCGTATTTCAGTACTACGTGTCTTTGTGGGAAGACAATTCTGTGCGGACATTTTTACAAACTCCTGACCCATGGCTGACCGATCTGGGACTGCACATCGACGACTCGGTAGAGGATCGCGATTCGAATGTGAGTTCCTTTCCGTGTAATAGGTTGCTACTGATGTCATCAATATCCTCGTAATACATAGAGTGACCCCTTCATGCCTTTGTATGCCTTCACTTTGACTTGCAATAGAGATAGTTTTCTCCGATCCCTGCCAATGTTTCCACGCAGGTAGAAAGAAATGGCTAGGCCCTACACCTGCTGCTAAGTTCACATGCATCTTTGTTACTTTGGAGATGGGCGCACTTTGTAGGCCACCGGCGCCGCATGTCATTCAAAAATGTAGGTGTCAGCCGTGACGATCAGTACGATCTAATGTGACTCATTGAAATGATTGTTTGATCCGCATTACATAAGAATCAAGAGGTTGGTGAATCATGCCAGGCTAGACCCGTTGGTCAAAATCTACCGTCAGACGTTATATCTGCCCTCAGAACTTTATCCTTTATCTCCCTGTTCTTTACTCATTACGGATCAGCTATTCTTGAGTGAAGTATCTAGCACTTATTTCACTGTGCTTAAACCGCTTCGAATTCGCGTAGGGGCGGGCGTCCTCGCGGTATACTCAGACCACGCGCGACTAGTGGTGATCGCGTGGCAGCGAAGCGTCCGTACAATGTGCCGGCCTACTGCTGATGACTTGTGCTTAAATCATCCTAATTCACTCTATGTCCTATAACTCTATTTTAACTCATCCCGATCAGCAATCGACACTTATGCTGACTTTGCTCCCCCTGTCACATAACTAGATGTATTCTGAACGAAAGCGAGAGGTGCGTCAAAGGGGGCGCGGTCCAGCAGTAACTAGATATGGAGCAGGATTTCTTCAGTACACTGCGGAGTATTTTGAAGTGTTCTTGTATTATACTCTATATGGTCGAGAATATAAACTGACACTGGATTTCGACGAAGTTTTATGAATAGCGTCATGCGTATTGAGTAAATACATAAGTCAATAAATCATTTTTCGCCTATGCGTGCGACTGTCCCCGCGTAGCATTTAATGCTCATCGTAGGCTCTGTGACCTTATGATATCGGCATGTAAATTATTATGCAGGTTCCATTATGCATTAATCCCAATCGTCCGTTTTGCGTTCACACCTTATTAATGATAATACTCGTATCAACAGTCTACTCTGAGACCCAGATTGAGTCGCAGGAGGGGGCGCTAAGTAGCAGAATATCTCCTCGCGATTGTAGTAGGAACACCTGATACACACGGGTTATTGTGCATGTTTTTGGGAAGATTCGTCGCAGTTAAACTCAGCCAGCCAGCCACCACACACATTCGGAAACGTGCCAGAGGAATGAAGTCCCTCACTTCGGAGTTAGCCTCGGTTGGAGCTTCACGGCTCCCTGGTTGGGGTCCAAAAGACGGTGAACACGTTTGGCTGGATACACTTGCTGACATGGCAAGGAGCCGACCTCAGTGGCGTTTGTGCTGTGAGTTTCTTTGTCCCTCCCCTCCACCTACGATCTCATTACATAGCGTAAAACATAATAATTTTTTTCTTTTTTTACCTAGTAGCTGGCTGGTAGCTTACCGGAACGATGCCTATCCGTTGCTGGTAGCTCAACTGGCATGCAACTGTCGTATTTATTTTTTCCTTTGTGTTTTGTATTTATGTATGTATTTCCTTTATGTATTGCGGTACAATAGCGGAGGTGTTACCCCACCTCTGGCTGACATGTATAATGATGATAGTGGTGATGCCAGGTGGCGGTTTCGTCCTTATTGGGACTCGTCAGTAGCGTGCGTCCACCAGATCCTCATCGACATAGTTTTCCCACCAGTTACGCTATACTTGAGTGACATACTCTGCATGATACCTAACGCGCACACGTTTCTCATTTGCGAACCGATAAATCACTCGAATTCCCCGTCCGCTGACCTCCGGGTGGGGCCACAGTTCCGGCTTGATCTTCTCGGTGCTATCGCGGGCTGTTTGAAGCAGTCGAGGCCAACCTGCATAATTACTGCAAGACTTCTTTCTTGATTATCATACTACCTAGGCTTTTCTCCGAATCTATGTTTGTTAATACGCTGGTGGATTATGCTCCACACCTTGCATTTGATCACCTTGAATGATGGTGGGATTTGGGATTACCACGTATTGGCCCTGTCAGAGGAGCCGCATTACAGTGCCTTGGTAGCTTGGACTCGTTTGCACATATTGGGACACATGCCTGCATCACGTGTTACTCAACGTTTCCCAGCTTAAGCTCATCTCAGCTGTTACTGACGCACAGTCGAAAAGCGTGTCTCAATGTCAGCTAAACTGGTGCATTGCCAAAACTATTTGGTCGATGTGTGATGGTACTAAGATGCCACACCGACTATGATGGCGACAGACCGAACGGACAAATTAAATGAGCCTAAAGCCAGCAGATTAAAAGCTCATCGATTGCCGTCAAAGCAACCTTAAAGCGATTGTTGGGTTGTCCCAAAATCAATTGACATTTTTGATGCCATTCAAGAATTTTATGGAAGTCTCCTAATCTTTCCATACTTTTGCACGACAGTTTGCAGATAGGCGCCTAGCGTTTGCATGTCCCATTATCTTTAATCAACCGTCTCGCATCACAACTTGAGTCTCGCTACTGTTGAATGGATTCCTTTACTTTGAGAATAGAGACTTTTCCTGTCTCTACGTTTGTAGCTGTCTTGCCATCGCATACATTAGGTTGCCTGCTGCGAAAACTGCATACTTGATCCTCTTGTTTTCCATGACTGAATCCCGCTTGAGCAGTGCCCTCACTTGGCTTCACTGCTATCTTGTCGAGCAGTGGTCCTGCAATGTCTCTGTTTCTGACGTACTGATGTCTATTTCCGATAGATAGCCACTTCTTAGACGTGCATCTTTTCCAGTTTGTTCCACAATCATCAGAATCCTTTTCATTGAAAACGCAAATGTCTTGTTGGTAAGATTCTTGTAATTCTGCGCACTAGTTGATGACCGCGGTGTCAAACACTCGGTTACACCACTTACTCTCGGTCGAATCTCCTTGGGCTACAGGAAGCCACTGGCTTCGATCAAAAGCCACTTCTGTTAAGTACACAAAACATCTGACTGTAACTTTGAACCCACCGTGGTAGCGTGAAGCCTATTGATTGGCCGCTGATTGGCCACCACTCGGACTCCATTTCTTTGTTTATGTACTCGGTTCCTTGTTTGTGAGTAATGGGGATGAACCTTCTGGTATTCTAATGCAAGATATCATGTCACTTATTTCGTCTTAGTCTTTTTTGTGCTCTCAGAGTGCAACCATGCTTTACCTCGGTCATCATCAAAAACAACAGCAATACCTCAGCCACTTGAAGTGATGCTTGGCTGCCGCACAACCACGGTGAACTACGGAACGAAAAACAATAAGAGGGAGAGAAGACGGACCTACGGTAAAAACTTAATGCTCTAACCTAACATTCGGGGTCAAGGCGCCTACACATTGTCAACAACATCACAAACAGCTGATTATTGTGCAAATATAAGGCAGCATCGGCGAGACAGCTTCCTTGTGGCTTTTACTGCTACGCGTCATAATCAGCCATTACCCCGCAGATAACTCAGCACCAAACACACTTCAAACACACGATCCAACTAGGAGACGACAGCAGACAAGCCACTGGTGTTGACTACAAGCCATGTCGTGTAACGTTTCAAGCCAAGCACACGGCGAGTCACGTGGACTCCAGGCTGAAAGGCGGGACGTATCGACGGCGCTAAATTTGCCCGTTGCTTACTTCGTTTCCCGCTGCGAAGTTAACTTGTGTCTCCCTTGGACATTGCGCCACCCTACATCTGGCGGACAAAACAAAGTCCTTTAAGCGTTGACTGGGCATACGTAGTTACTGCCCAAGCCAACGCAACTTATTATGTGCTATCTTTTATTCTAAGGAACTAGCTTGTGTCTCATTGTCTAGCACTCGCCTACGCACATCATCGTTTCGGACACGCTGGTACCATCATCATCATCATCATTACACGTTAGCTGGAGGTGGAAAACACCTCAGCTATTGTGCCGCAATACAAAAGAAAAAAGGAAAACAGTGGCAAACCGTGGCACGCCCGCTGAGTCCCCAGCAACGGATGGACATCGTTCCTGAGAGCTAACAGCTGGCTGCCGTAAAAGAGAATCGTATTATGCCTAACAGGTGAGATCGTGATTGGAGGGGGATGCTAAACAGGAGAGGGATAGACAAAGGAAATCACAACACAAACGCCATTGGTGCCGGCTTTGAGCCATATCAGCAAGTGTGTCCAACCAAACGTGTTCACCGTCCCTAGGACTCCAGCCAGACAGTCGGGATGCACCAACCGACGCCAACTTCGAAGTGAGGGTTTTCATTTCTCTCGACCAAGTCATCACTTGGCCTCCCCTCCTCCTCTTCCAACCACACCCACAACGCGCAAACAATGCACATCGCGGGAGTCGGTGTGCTGGCATGCGCAACACGTGGCCCAGCCATCGGAGCCTGGTGCGTGATATAATGGTGCTGAGCGGTTCACTCGCTCTTCCTGCACCAAATATGCGACGTCGAACACGCTCATTGCTCACGCGGTGCTCCCACTACTTGTGTGCATGTCGCCGTACCTGTGACAGACTCGGGAGAAAAAGGAAACGAACACAGACAGCCACACAGACAGAAGAAAGGAATGCATCTGGAATGCAGCCAATCAATCGCGGCGATGCCTGAACTATTGCACCCCTATGCATGTAATTGTTATTTAAATATCGCATATACGCGTATATCATAAGTGGCGAAGTACGACGAGAATCGAGCAGAACACGGATCAGTGAAGCATGAATGATTGAAGATGAAGCAGAAGTGGTTGGGGAAGTGTCAGAAAGCAAAAGAGCGTTTAGATGAGACTGGATAAGTCAGCAAGGTGAAGCTAGGCAGTCAGATTAAAGTAGGGATAACAGTTGTGAATGTCAAGAGGAAGAAAATTTGCGGGACTACATAGGTTATATAAAAACCCGTTAGCATATCAAACGAAGCTCCCAGGCTGAGGGACAGGTTGTGTTGTGACTGCACAGCCTAGAACACGCGCGTCCCTGATTTCTGGAAGCAGTC